AATCCCTTAGGGTAAGACTTTGAGTTTGAGACTGACTTGAATTTCGTCGAGTACTCTACGAGACTATAAGGAAAAAGATTACGAGTTAGTGGTATACGGAAGATATGGAAGTTACGTGGAATGCATTGCAAGGAGGTATGCAATGCAGGAATGCATTGCATACCTTCAATGCAAGGAATATTCCATTGAAAGGAAACCAAAAGATACATTGCACACACGCTGCTTGTTACACCCTCACTGATAAAAATAAGTCTACTCTCATAATACTTTTCAATTCAGTTTGATTAGTGTCACATTTCAAAGAATTATGACTGGCATGAAGAACTCTTGAGTAAATAGGAATAAGAAAAGCCTAAACATGACCAAAAAAAGGTCTCCAAAAAAAACAAACCACTGCTTCAAGCAGTTTCTTAACGGGATACCTACAGAAAGTTTAAGTCCATCGTGGTGAATTGTCCCGTACCTACTTGTAAAATAACGTATGAGTAAAACATGAAGACTTTCTGTAAGTTTAGTGTACTCTCTTTACCTCTCTTTGAACCTTTCAAACATACTTCATTTCCATGTCTAAGCAATGGGCAACAAAGCCTACTAGGTCAATTGTGGAAGAGAAAATATATAGCCTGTTCCTACCCTGTTTGTTACCTACTTTTGAAAAATTCCAACGGTCAAAAGGAACCACATGGCAAAGCAGTATTTTGTACTTCCTATGAAATACTTCCATCATTTCTTGATATTGAGCTTTGCAAACTGATCAACTAGATAACCACGCCCCCGTCCCACAATCGGTCTCTTCTTCCCCTGAAACAACTGCAAGTCATCTTCATCTTTGTCTTCACCTGTACCACTTTGCTTCGTGCTCCTCATTGAGGCTTCAAGTTCCTCATCAACAGAAGGGGCTGGGGTGTCTCTCATCACAGGACAGTGCTTATGTGGGAGAAGTGGAACACCAAAATGTTCACAGACCTCATCCGAGATTATGTATCCCTCTCGTGTTACCAAGCTCAGCACGCATGGCTTGGTGATTTCACACTCCTTCTGATGGTAAAGGCAGGCTATGTCATCCACATGGTCATAGCATGACCTATGCAGGACATCTGCAGCCATCACACTGGATGGATAAGCCAGGTTCTCACCTGGACACACCTTCCTCAAATGAAACAGCAGATGATTGAGCTCATAGATGCGAAACGGGTTGGCCTCGTCTCCCCGTTCCCCTCGTCTCCACAGCCACTCCAGAAGGGATGCCACCTTTTCGACTTCATCTGGCATGGTGTAAAAAGGGCGATACTTCTCTCTTTCTCTGCTGGGCTTAATGAGATTCAGAAGTTGAAGAATGATCTCTGGATAGTTGTTGTCTAGGAGGTTTCCCTGAAGTTCAAGACGAATACCATGCATCTCCTGGTGATGCTTGGCATCAGATCGGTATCCTAGCGGAATGTTTTCAGGGTGGAGAAGTGCATGAAACTTTCTGGTGACACCATGTTGAATGGTATACTCCACAGCAGCAACTTCTGCTGGCCGATACTTCTCCGCCAGGTCATGAATTTCATCAGTGGATACAAAGATGTTGAAGTCGATGATATGGAAGGGTTCGTCCAAGAGTGTGCCTTTCAAGAAGCCATCTCCCACCCTTCTGGAAATGTCTTCAATCATGGCCATTTCAGCATCTTTTTTCTCATTCTCTGCCCGAATACGAGCTGATACTGGCATCCCATAGCTATCATATGTCTCTGCCAGGGGCTTCCACTTATTCTTCCTCTTTGGCCCCATTCTGTAATTTCTAGGAAGAAATTCAAATGAATGAACCTCATGGAGATACATGGGTGAATCAAGACACTAATCATGAAGCATGCATCTGATGTATTCCCTTGATAAAATGTGGTCCAACATGAGTTCCTCAATACTTGTGGTTTTAAACAGGCCTAAATAAGACCTATTACATGTTACACAAATAAATATATATTGATTATATATATATATATAGATCGATGTTTCAAAGCCAATAAAATTGGCACACTTGCGGAAGAGACTGGAAGGGCAATGCGTTTAAATTGCCCCCTTCCAAGCCAAATTCAAGGGCTAGCCCTTCTATCAGTGATTGTCCATCTTATTATATATATATATATATATATATATATATATATATGAAAGAAGGAAACCAGCATTGGCCATTGGATCAATAAGCCAGCTAATTCCCTCTCTCTTGTTTACAGTAAAAGGCATGCAGGACTTCATTCTACTTTCACAATGACTGCATTCTGATATTTTTACTAGCAGCATCCCAAGCAATAGGTCACTCCACTCAAGTCTGGAAGCTCCCCCCATTACATGATCACATCTGCATTTAGCAGGCTTTTCCTCCTTCCACCAAGGCTCATCAACCCATGCTGAAACCTAACTTTAGCATCACAGGTGAAATACCTGCAAATAGTCCTGATGTATTTATACAGTTGGTTAAGGCAAAATACAGAGTCCTAGACAAGGCGTAAAAGAGGCAAGAAAAGTTTGAGATGCAGCAAAACAACTAAGCCCTGCATCTGACAAGGGGCTTCACAAAGAAATGATGCAGAAAGAACTACAACGTAGGGCTGCACACAGGGCACGTCGTCTGTCCTCAGTATGAATGCAGTTGAGCTTCGGATGCTTCATGCCTCGAGTTTGCTTGGGGTGCACCTTGCAGGCCCAGGCTTCTTCGCTTAAACATAGCGCAGGCCAAGGATTTGCGGTCTCCCGTAGACTTAAGAAAGGTCATAAGGAGGGGATTTGAGGTCCATCCGCGAAAATTCAGTTGTATCCAGAAGGGGTTTTTAAGACTGCCCCGTTCGCCTTCAAGGCCGCAAGAAATGCCTCAATACACATCTCTAAATATTTGCATTAGTACAATAATATAATAGTCGATGCATTCACTGACCTAAAATTCACTTAGCACCATCATCCCAACAAGCGATCGCTGCTTAAATCGGAGATTCCCGCCGTTTACACATCACAACAGCCCATGCACAGCGACCACGTTCGCACCGTATTCATGCACAGCACTACCTGCAGTCAATATGATAAACTGTAACTTTCACTTCTATTCACCAGATGACGTGAGTTGCTATGAAACCTGGGGCCAGTTTCTCGAAGCTTCTAAATCTTTCCTTTTTTTTTCCATAAACGGAGCCTTTAAGAAAAGAAATAGAATAGATAAAAGTTTCTAAATAGACTAGAAAGTGGTGTTTCTCGAAACATCTAAATCTAAACTTTTTCATTTCTTTTTCTCAAGTCCGTTCTGCCTCCGAAGGAGGATCGAATCCTTTCATTCGGCTCAGTGTTGCTCCAAATTTCTGACAGCTGTGCGGCTGAGACTCCCGAATCGAGCATTCGGTAAACCGATTGCTCTTTCGACGATGGAAGGGGCTCTTTGCCTGACAGGCGTTGTGGGCGACTTCTTCCTTAGTCTTTTGGATTGGTCAAAGGAGTCATGAGATGACTTCGCTGTGGGTGTCCATAATCTCCGGGATCGGCCTGGATAGCCATCGACAATACTTTTTTCTTCATTTTCTTTTTCTTCGTTTTCCTATCGACGACGATTTGTGCATACAGCCTATTCTGCTCGCGTCGAGGAATTCCCTGTCCTTGGTGGTTCGATGGGGACATGGGTTCCTTCCATCGCCCCGATCACTTTAGGGAATTGAAATTCCTCAATTTTCAGAAATCGGCTTTCACCCTGTGGACTTCGTTAACCGATGAGGGAAGTGTGTGTGTGTGTGTGTCTGTGTGTGTCTGTGTCCAGGATCTCGACGGTCGACGTCGTGGCTCATCACGCCCGTAGTTTTGGAGGGAATAAAAGGCGATCGCGGAAAACGCGCTCTCTCCTCGAGAATTTTCGCCTGCGGAAACGTTCCCGTGCCGCCATGTCTCATGCGAATGAACAAGAAAATATGCGGGAAAAATTTCTCCTTCGAGAGACAAAATGTTTGCGTGCCGTCTAAGAATGATAAGAATATCCAGGTCAAGCTGTTAATCGTTTTAGAAAAGTTCAAGGCTTGGCTGTCTTCTTCCAAGCCTAAAACTTTTCTTAGCCGCAAGAAAAGATTTAGCATAGAAAAAGTTTAGAACTTCCGAGAAACCGCTTTTAAGAAGGAAATCAGAAAAAGATTAGAAATAGCCGAGCTTTAGCACGTTTTAAGAAAAAAGAAACGATTTAGAAGCTTCGAGAAACTGGCTCCAGCTGACCCCTAAAAGGTTTTTTTTTTTCTGCCGTTTAATTTGGTCTGGGAACTCGATGATTTCCTTCGAGGAAATGCATCCGGCGATGACCGCTGAAACGTCAGAATTTTTTTTTTCTCGCCCATTCCGGCCCGGTTAAATTTTATCTCATCGTGCGAGATTTTATCTCATCGTGTTGGCGGATGCATTCAGAGCTCTGGAGAAAGAAAGGGCGGAAGATATTTGGTGAAGAATTCTCATAAGTAATATAAATGCTTAAGTCATTGATTCATTAAAAACTGTGGAGAACAGTTTTGGCATACGTCTTTGGAAGTGAGTTGCTTTTTATAATTTCAACATCGTGCCGAATGATTCCAGAAAAAATGAGTCGTGCATAGGAGACGTTTGACTCGGATGGCTTTGAATGGATGCAGGCGGCGACGGCACCAGAGACATCTGCGTTACGAATGGGTACTGTTGCTTCCAGCATCCGTTCTTGCGTCATACGGTGGTTTGCAAATGAATTCACAACGCCTTTTACATTGTGCAATGTTATGTCTACGGTGCATGCTGTTAGATAAAGGCATATCTCCCATGATAGAAATGACAATGCCTAAGGGAAGTACGTGAAATGTGCAGCAAATTCACTTGAAAATCTCTATGCGGTAGAAAAGTAAGGCCCATCTCACGATGGCATCCAATAGTGAGAGGAAAGACAAATCCTTTCGATAAGCGCTCTATGAACTTTGACCTTAGCGAAGAGAGTATATACACTGTACCTCCATTTTCGCACTTTGCTCTCGAGACACGAGCCGAAGATGCTCGAACATGGTGGCGCGCTTCGTTGCAGTTCGTAAGAGAAGAGTGCCAGACGACCGTCATCGCACATTGGCAGTTCCTTGCATATAAAACGCAATGGTGAGTGTCAGCATTTTCCCAGCGTCTTGAACCTGGTACCCTTTCAGACTTTTTCGTATTTAAGGCTGTCTGGTCACTTTCAATCCAAGTCTAGGCGAATGTTTCAGTCATGAAATGCAAACCTCGATTTAGTCTAAGCGAATAATGGTAGACCATTGATACAACGTAAAGCCTAAGCCTGGTTTTACAGATGAGGTCGTTATGATTGCCAACAAAATTCATGCCGTTTTCTGTGTTTGGCTTAGCTTAGCTTTAGCTTTTAATCAAAGTCCAACCATATTCTCGTGGTTTGCCTAAGGACAGAATTATTGATCTCATTGCAAGAAGGAAAACTATATTGCAGTCGCCTGGCGTGGCCTACTGCTAATTGTTTTGCTAATTTGAAACCAGGTCCTATATCAATTAATGTGGCTTCATCTTTAGCTAAGTATCTTTAGCTACAATTCCCTCAGCATACAGTTAGATTTACCCAAATAGATGCAGTGCAGGCCTATTCCTGTGTGTGCATGTCAGTTTCAATATATTTGTTGCTCCCAGCATTTTTGTTCATCCTTGCTCATTTATTCTGTGTTTTTGTTGAAGGCCATTTCCTTTACATTTGTGCTCCATTATCTTCATAGGGAGAGCGAAAGGGTGTGAACAAGTGGTATCCACCTGATTGGAGACCAGAGCTAGGAGGACTCAACAAGTACCATGGGACCCATGCATTGCGAGAAAGGGCCCGCAAGCTCCACGAGGGCATTCTCATCATTCGTTTTGAAATGCCCTATAACATTTGGTGTGATGGATGTGGGAATCACATTGGCATGGGCGTCAGGTGAGATCATATTCCCTTCTCTTTTTTTTCAACTGAAAGCCTGGCCTACAGGTTGAGATCTAATGCTTCTCAGTTGTTAAGTCACTGTCTGCACGATTGAGTTGTGGTAAAGGTACCACCGCTTTATACCTGGATGCTTCTTTTTCTGATGCCATCTTAAAAGAACCCTTAATTTGTTTCAACAGGTACAATGCTGAGAAGAAAAAGATTGGAATGTACTATACCACCCCATTATGGCAGTTTCGGATGAAATGTCATCTCTGTGACAACCACTTTGAAATCAAGACTGACCCAGCTGTATGTATTTTGCTTTCATTACTGCATCCTATGTAATTGTGTATTGCTCTTTATTGAGCATGCACTCTGCCTCTCTTTTTTGGGGTATAAAACAAATAAACAGCAGTGCAATAAGTAAGCAAAAAGACTAAGTTTTTCTGGGGCATAAATTTAATCTCATAAATCATGAACTTGTGAGTATCTTTTGCTAGTGGCATGGGTTTTTAATATAACAGGGCCTCTGTTAGTGCTGGTAAACCACCATTTGGTTGAGATATTAGATCTGAAAAATTATTTTCTTTAGTGAGGTAATATATTTTAATAAAAATTTTGGAAATTGAACTAATTGCACTTGTTTCATCCAAATTTTAAATAAAATTCAGTCATGTTTTCAAGAAATGAAATCCTTAGTGGTTCCTATAGTAAAAAAAATTCAAATCCTGCAACAGTGATAGGTTGTACAGGAATAAAGACAAGAGGAGCAGATCTTGTTTGTAGAGTACTCTAACATGCATGGGGAATAAAGTCTCAAGATTCAAGAATAATGTGAATCTTCATACCCCCAGATGCAGATTGTGTTTTACTTAAGTTGAATCATGTTTTGACCTGGGTTTTATTATTTATGTATGTTTAACCATTTCTGGTCTACATGAAGTCATCATGTCTTTGCTTCCATTCCCTGGCAGAACTTGGACTATGTAGTAGTTAGTGGTGCAAGGCGACAGGAGAGAAGGTGGGATGCGAAGCAGAATGAGCAGGTTGTCCCTGAGGACAGGGCAACAAGCAACAAGTTGGCCTCGGATGCCATGTTCCACTTGGAGCATGGGAGTGAGGATGCAAGCAAGGCCAAGGCTGTTGCACCTGCCTTGAAGAAGTTGGAGGCCAGACAAGACAGCAAGTGGAAGGATGACTACTTGGCTAATCGAGCTCTTCGGGACAAGTTCAGGGTGAGGTGGAGATTCTATAAGCATGCTTATTGAAGAGGTGAATGAGCCATGGTTGTCTGGAAGTTGGTCTGTAGTAATTGGGGAGAGATGTGTGTTATTAATATGGAATGGATGTAGTGCTCAATGAGTAAAGCAAGAGGTTAAAAGTGTACCATTTAGCAGATGTTTGTGATTTCTGATATCGGAAGTTAGGGTCCACTTGATATCCTGAAGATGAAATATGGAAAAAGAACTTGGAAAATAGATAGTAAAAGTACTTCCAAATGATCCAGAGTAGTAGGAAGTTTGATCTTATTGTGATTAACCCTTTCATGGTGTATGATCATTATAAGGATCATGTCTTTTGAGATTGCTCCTGCAGATACCATTGAGCAAAACCTGTTTTATATGATATCGCTTAATAGGTCTTGAAAATGGCTTTTCAGTGATGCATCATTTGTTCAAATAGGTTCAGGCAAGTTGAATCAAAAGGAAAAGTTGTGACCTGATATTTTTGTGAAATGGAGTTTTTATTGAAAAAGTAAGATTTCCCCCCATTTTTTTTTTGTAAAAGGGAAAAATATGCCCACATGCTGCAAGTATGAACAGATGAAATTGGGACAAAGGCCCAATTTTAGGGACTCTCCATGTGTGAACAACAGCCTGTTATTCAATGTTTTCTGTTGATGACTCATGTAGTTAAAAAATTCAGTTTTTGAATATATGAATAAATATTTAAAATTTTCTGTGAGCTCTTTCTTTAGCTAGACCTGTTCAATAGAAAAAGCAGTGAAAAAATGTCCTAGTTATTTGTTTTCTTAATTCAGCCATGAAAGGGTTAAGTCTGTGTGCTTCTTTACTTTGGCTTTGTCCAACTCTAATCTTTAGGTTCTTAACCATTCATAATTTTGCAATAAATGTGTCATTATCAGGATCATTATTATGTGACATTAGTCAAGATAATATATTGGACATTTGCATGCATTTATTTATCTCTACATTTTAAAGAATGAAATAGGACAGAAGCAGTGAACTTGTAAGAAACAAGTCAGGCTGTGTAATGAGTTTGGAGCAAATCAATAAGGTATTGGGAATTTCAACTAACTGTGCATAAGAGGAAACAAGATTGCAGTAAGATCTATATGAAAGAGGATGAAGAGTGAACTTTCAGAATAAATCATCATTTTAAATATGGTAACACCTAATCATGTACTATTTTGAGTCAAAGAGGAGAGGAAGTTTAATCAATTTGAGTGAATGTTGGTTTGTTGAATACTATTTGAGACACGTGTCTCTTGAACAAGTCACTATTAGTTTGAAATAAATAAAGCCTTCTTCTTGCAGAAACGGAAAAAAGAAGCAGGGGAGGAGAAGAGACTTGATGAGGCCCTTTTGAAAAAGTCCTCCCTGGACATCCACTTGCTCCCAGAATCACAAGAAGACTCTCGCCTTGCATCACTCCTTCAGTACGCTACTGTCCAGAGTATGGGTTCCTAGTTTCCCATCTGCAAAATCCCTCTGAGACAATTTTATGGAGTCCTTTGTCCATTTCAGCATCAGAAGAGAGAAGAGAGGAAAGAAGGCAGGAAATAGTTGATCGCCCCCTGTTTGACACTCCCCCTCCACCTGTGAAGGCACAGAGACTTTCCAAAGCCCTACAAAGATCATGTGGCAGGGGATTTGACAGTTACAAGAGTACAAATGTGAGTAGGGGACGTCTGGCACTGGGCTTGAAATTGAAAAGTGAAAAAGAACCTTCAGATGACACACAGAGCCAGACTTCTGACCCTGAAATTATACTACTCAATGGAGAAGTGCCAAATCATAAAGCATATGGAGATGATGGGAACAATGAAAACCATGAAGAAGGCCTAAATGGGTTGGCTGACACATCCTCAATGGCCTGCGCTTCAAATAAGACTGACTCTGGCCCTGAGAAAGAAGAAACTAAGAAGGGAATCAGTTCTCTTGTTTCTAGCAGTTATCAGTCTAGTGATTCAGAGTGAATTTTTGATCAGGCTGTGATGTGTAGACTATACTTTCAGAATAAACCCATTTATGGAGCTCATCTGCCAAACAATAAATTGTGGACCTCTTATAATCCAGACTGGCACTTTCTTGCAAGGTCAAGTTGCACTCTATCACAATCCTGGCTAGGAATTAAGGAAGTGTTGTTTTAAAAGAATTTGTAGTTTTACTAAAATAGTTGAGGGCAGAAATATCAACAGGTCATTGCAATTTTTTGGCATCCTTACTTTCAAATGGCTTGAAATGCTTCAGACTTGCTTATGCGTGGTTGTTTTCTAGGTATTCATAATGCACATACATGAAACCCTATGACCTCAGAGAGGGTTGGTATGTGATTATCTTTGGTATGTTCAATTTTGAAACCTCATTCAAACCAAACACGACTTTCACAATTTTGAAACTGATATGTGTTTCCAACTGCACACTTGTCCAGGATTTTTGCTCAATAATAGTGAAATTTAGATACTTCACTGCAGGCCCATTCCACTGTTCCAAATGCCAGTCAGCTGAGAGCTTCATTTGAATGTCTTTAGATGACTGAAACACAAAAAGTTCTTTGTGGGAAGGGGTTTCCAGTTTAATCTTTTTCTTGCATCTTTTCCATATGAATGAGAATGGAGAGCCTGCAGGCACAGGTTTAGGTAATAAGTGTTGGCTTGTATTGAAGAGACTATGTGTTGCAGCATGAAATGAAACCATTGAACTGGAAAGGATAATGAGATACCCTTCACACCCAGGATTTGTCAGATTTGACATTTCTTTCGTGAGGGTTTCTTTATTGGTTACAATAGTTCATTACAGCAACAAAGAAGGGAACAGCTGCATTCTCCTCTCTGCACTTTTTTTTTGCCAGTTGTTCACTTCTTACCTCTGGTTGAGCAATATTACTGTAGCATGTGCAACTAAGGGCTTCCCTTTTTATGGGATGTTCTTATTTGATCTTCACAGCAAGATGCTAAATTGTTCATTTCACATAGACTGCCTTGTGAAGTTACTCAAATTGACAGTAACTCTTAACATTTCCTTGAACATTTTACTTTTACATAACATTCCCATGAAAATATCTGTTAATGTGGTTTTAGTTGCATTTTAACCAGTTTACTGTTGCTCTGTTGTGCAATTGTCCACATGCTGTACCAGGTTTTTTGCTAAATTTTGCTGCTACTGCATATTGATCTGGGTCTCCAATTCACTCAAAGACCTCCAATACACAGGAAATAATACTAATATTAAAGAACGAGCGTCATAAATTTAAATTTGAATATAATGCTGTGATTGGGTTCAAAGAGCTTGCTTCAGAATCACGCAAAAATCTGATGTAATTGCGTACTGGCTAGCAGCATCCAGCTCAGCACCAGCAGCAAGTATGAATCACTTTTTTGAGAGTCTTCACAAATATGAAAAGTCCTCCAGTGAAAACCCACGGTCAAACCTTGGGATGTGGCCCATGGGGATGGCCACCACGCTAAGATGGAGTTTTCCTGCTGCATTCATGTGGTTTGTTGGACTATTGTAATGGGGAATATGCTCTCTCCCATCATTCCCTCTCTGAGCATTCCTGATGATAATTCAAAACCACCTGTAGAAAATACCCTGGGTTGGTTGATTTCTCCTCAAAGCAATTCATCTCTATCATTTAGATTTCCTGTCAGGGTTTGCATGACATTTCTGTCCTGCAAAAACGAATGAACCGCCATGTGTGCTAAGCAACAAGCAGAGTAAATGCAATGCAAAACGAGCCGATAATTTCATTGCCCAAATTAATCAGAAGAGATTGTCGCATCGCAAATGGGGAAATTTCAAGTGTGAATGACAACGCCATGCAATTCAAATCGTTTCATAGAATGTTCTTCCAGTTCCCGTGCGGAAGGGGTACATGACTTGTCAAGCCGAATTGGTCATGTTTTGCCTTACATCTAAAATTTGCTATGGTACTTACATTTTATAATGAATCGTATAAACGCACCAGGGAAGTACCTGAGTGCATTTTTTTTCCTACCCCAGAAAAAAAATTCTTTAATGATTCCAGGGATGGGAAACCGGCTGCTGATTTTTGCACTAATAAAGAAATATGTGATTTTCCTAGAAGGCCTTCTAGGAAAATCGTGCAAAATAAGTGTGACATGGAGAAATAGCGCAAGGATCCTAGGGTTATTACTCCGGGCAACAATAAGCCTACTAAAGAACTCTATGCATTACGGTTGAAAATTTGCTGTTAATTGCACGACTGAGTCGTCGGACTCCAAGTCCTTGATGAACAAGACTTTCACTTCTTTGAGGCAAGGAGATACTTCGGCCAGCCATGCGCGCATGTTCTCTGACCTGCTTCTCAATCTTGGGCCCTTCGCTGTCGTACGTGAGGGACCCAATGAGAACCATTGACGTTGGGCGCGATGCTGAAGAGCATCTGTGGAAAGAGCATCCACTGTCTACTATGGATCCGTCATCCGCGAGGGCTGGAAGGGAAGTGAATGTTTCAGTGGAAGACGGGCACCCCGACCGAGGCAGAATGCTGCACATGCGCAGTGAGCCGTGTTGACCCGGTCGCTATGGTTACTGCGGACAGACGGAAGGGAAAAAAAAAATTGACGGACAGATCGCAATATCTGCCATTTCCCCATAGTACCTATGGGAATGGCGTAAAGAATGAAGAGCTGCTACATTTTCCCTCCTGCCCCTCTTTCTTTTGCCAAGCTGCTGCCACGGGATATTCTTATAATATATCAAAATTCCTCAGAAATCCAAAGTGTATTGTGTTGCCAGAATTAAAAATAACTTCCTCTTAATACAGAATAGCAATAAATTCCGGGCGATTACATTTTTTTGCCTCATCTATGATTTTTACTTGGCAGAATTAACCTTCTAGTCATTTTTTTACCACTTAATCGGTAATCCCAATGAATCCTCGGGCTTGCCCCATAAGAGGTTAACACAGTTGGAAAAGGTGAACGTTTATTGGAATAAACCTCGAGGAAGGACTTCCAACCCTCACGCCACGATCCTCCACCATGGCCCAGAAGCAGAGTTGGAAGGAGAATGCCTTGGATTCAACTTCATTCCTCCTTCGCTTCCACACCTCATGCCCTGCAGCTATTTGCGCACGGTGTCGAATATTAAATTTTGGCACAATGGAGGGTTACGGCAAAAAAAGACATAAAACCTTATCGAAATCTGTTTCTCTTGGCACAAAAATCATTGTTCTAGTCTAAAAATGACAAATATTACAATTTTAAAACAGGGAGTGACTTTTCATTAACCAAATAGATTAGCCTGGAATTTTCCTTACAATTCAATAACCTAAGTAAGCTAAGAATCATGAGGCAACGAAAATAACTACTAAGATTATCAGACAGCAGCAACTATAACTGTTGAAGCCTGTCTCAAGCACTCAGAATCTGCACCAGAGCTGCCCGCCAAGTTTTCTCACGTTTATTATCATGGATCATGATTATTAAATTCTATTACCATATTCCGGTATGAGTCCGTACACCTGCATTTTCCATTCGCACCCGAACATTATTTCGCGTTGCTGCTAACGTTGCTAGAAACCAGAGGTACCGCCAAGCACTGCAGAAACCGCACCATTAGAGCTCAAGAACAACTTGTCCGACTATTCTAAGCCTAAAAGCGGCAAAGCCAGACAACCACGAAGAATTGGATGCAGCCGGCCATACCACGAGGGTGTTTGGGACGATCCACGAATGGTGCCTCTCGATGGTATCGCGGTAGGTACGATGTCCTGCGTCCCCTCTATTTTGTGACGTCATCCATGCCTGGCCAATCAGACGTGGGAGAAGCTGTATCGCTGTATTATTTCGATATTAGCACCCCGGAGTCGTAGTCCTCCAGGCAATAGCAGGAGAAAGCGAAGGTCAGCTCCAGCCCTCTGTCCACGCTGTCGCGAAACCGAATCACTCAATCAAACTATCAACTTCTTTTCTTTGTGATAGACTAAAATGGGACGTTCTTCAAGAAACATGGCTAATATAATGGGTTTCTAGAGAATATATATACCGTGATGCCGTACCTTGTGTGAATGTGGCAGAAACAGAGTGCACTTTGGTGAAGCAGCAACAGGCGAGCAGTAGCGTAGTCAGGATTTCGTCGAAGAGGTGGCTATGGGGAACGGAGGGAGGGACGGGAATTTCCCTTACTCCTCCTCCGTTGGAGAGAGGAGGGGGGGGGGGGGCCTCACGTTACTACTGACAAGCTCATAATAAAATATTCACAATTTAAGTTTGTTTGGCTCACTTGTCGCAACACCGGATTCTAATATATGACCATTTAAATATTAAGGTCTAAAACTAATGAAGTTGATTTATGAAGTTCACGTTCATATCATGCATACATGTTTTCGCATGTTAAAATTGTCTGTTTCAAATTTCGATTGAAATACGGTAAAATAAGAAGATTTGGTGATTTCCTGCATCTTTTTACTGTCTAATGTTAGTTTAAATTATTTAAAAATCTGACTGCAAAACCTTTTGAGATATAGGAGATAGTATGTTCCTGGTCCCTCAATGCTTCCTTCAGACTCAACAAGGGATTTAAGCGTGGAATACTTCTCGCTGTCCTTTTCATAGAACTCTATGAAAATGTAAATGCTCTGGAGGAATAGATGGCTTGAAGGGGGCTAATGAAATTACTTACTGTTGCATTCGTGTTTTCATCATTCCAGGGAAAATAGAGCAGCTTGCCCAAAGCACTTGAAAGGAGATAAATGCAACCCAATCCGCTTATTTAAATTCCGCTTAATGAAATGCTGTTTCCAAACTTCTTAATCTGTAAGATACGTCATGAAGAGCATGACTCGGAGAAAGACGTTTACAAAAGTGACCTGTAAGCAGAAAAACTGACAATATCACGAAGTAAGAACGAGTCGACGAAGTAGAGAATACTATCAAGCAAAAAAGCTACTTAAAAATAAATTTAAATGTATTCCTACATGAAAATGTTGAAAATTCAACACAATAAGTAACATGTCTGAAAATACCTCACACTTAATTGCAGACATCTTAGAAGAAAAAGCTAAAAACTCAGGAAGTTCAGAGAAAAAAAGCCAG